ATAGTGACCCCGAAACCTTTCTCGAATTGAGCTGGAAAACATGCAATCGTAAGTTTTTCTTTTAAAATATATTCTTATAGATATTTCTGTCCAAATAATTGGTAGTGTCACTTTCGCAAAGTTTGACAAAACAAGGTTTACATAAATTACACACGGACATTCTCACTTGGTGTTGACACATCACACACTTGTACGTAGGCTAGCCCAGGTTGGACGAAGTCTTCATTGCAATACGACTAACGTCAAGGGCAAGAATTCTCTACATGAAACCACCCAACATTTTTACCAGAGTTTTGTTATGTTTTACCTAGTTATAGAAGCTTATTTCACGCCTACATACTCTATGTATCCTTATCTAGTATTAGGCCGCTGGGTTCAGGAATTCCATATGCGATGCTGACTGACGTCAATCAGGAAAATAAACTCCAAAGCAGCGTTAAACTTGTACGTGTTTGTAGTCTCTTTTCATCAGTTTATTCCCCGAGTCGTGCACGCACGCTAGCGCTCTCATTTGTTTAGTTTTGGTTGGAACCGTGACGTCACTCCAGCCAACCGATGTCACGAAAACGCTCAACCAATGACCAAAGCTGAAACGTGTTTCTGGTAACTGGCGCGAAAACACGCTCGGTCATTGGATTAGCGACAGCGCCTTCAAGTAAGTGCGCGTGCGTATGAGGGTGGTTACTAAGCAAATCGCGCGTGCGACTGCATATTCATGCTGCATAGTCTGGCCCCCGGACCAGACGTGATATGAGCGTCGAGAATAATTGTCCGGTCTAGGGAACCAGACTACACGCTGCACAGACGTATATCATGTACGACTAGAATAGACTCGGCGGTGAGAAACTAATGAAAAGAGACTACAAACACGTACAAGTTTAACGTTGCTTTGGAGTTTATTTTCCTGATTGACGTCAGTCAGCATCGCATATGGAATTCCTGAACCCATAAGCCCAACAGATAAGGACACATAGAATACTACGACGTAAAAATTAGCTTCTCCAACAAGGTAAAAATATTGAAATTATTGGTCAGAAATGTTTTCGTTCGGTTTTGAGCACTTTTTACCCAGGACTCCCTCCGTTACGTAGGGAGGAAAGCTAAAGGGAGTCCACCTGGGCTAGTACGTAGGCCTATGTACATGTACATGTACATATCATGTACATGTACTATAGCCCAGGTTGGACGAAGTCTTCATTGCATTACGACTAACGTCCAGGATGAGAATTCTCTACATAAGACCACCCAAAATTTTGACCAGATTTTTGTTACGTACGTTTTACCATGTAGGGTATTTTTGGTTATACTCAGTACGAAAGCTGTTGTCAACTCACCAAGAGATTTGTCCGAGAATTGGGCACGAGTCCACACGCTCGGTCTTCTCGCCGCGGGACGAATATTGACTCTGTCGATCGCGATATTTCTCCTGGCGCGGATGCACGAACCACTGTTCGTATAGAGTTTTTATCCACGAGGATTGTTCAGGACACAAACAGACGATTACTGACTTGACGAAAAACACACGAAGACGATGATAAACGCTGATAAAATACTGCTGAAGATTGGTGCTCAAAAATGTCAAAACGCGATAACTCGTAACTTTTCACCAAAGACAGAACACATGGAAAAACCCACACAGAGCACATGTGGACGCACCAGCGAATATATACATGTATGTACAATACAGGGTACCAGTCAAAGATGTTCGCTGGCGTTGATTGGCGAGTTCTTTACATGTGACGCCAATGTTGTTATTTACATTAAGCCGCGTAATGGTTAAAGGGGCAGTCACTACAGTAGCTCCCCCCTAGATCGGAGCAGATAAGAAACGATCGATACAAACGACCAAATCAAAATGTTTCAAGTGCCTGAAGTGCAAAACTGGACATAACGAGCAGGCCAATGTACATGGCGTCCAGATCTAGTGGTCTTGACCTCTGGAACTGGAGGAGGCGGCGTGGGTCGAGGAGGGGGCATGGCAGGAGGAAGTTTCTGTGGGATCGCAGGTGCCCTGAGGCCGACGGGTATGGCATCCTCAAGGTATGCGACTTTGAGACGGTCAATGCTGACGGTGTCGTGCTTACCCTTCCTGTCCAAAACGAAAAACTTGTTCGTCCGTTTGAGTACCAGAAACGGGCCATCATAGGGGGGTTGAAGTGGTGTTCTCACTGCGTCGTGTCGAACGTATACATGCGTGCACGTGAGGAGATCAGGGTGCACCTGAGAGTTGCTCTGCTGGGACCGAGGTGGCGGAGGGTGAATGGTTTGCATGTGTCGTCTAAGACGATGGATGTAGTCACTGGGGTCCAGATCCCCATCTGTGGGACTAGGTGCAACAAATTCACCGGGCAATCGGAGTGTAGTACCGAGAACCATCTCTGCAGAGGAGCAACCGAGAGTTGATTTAACAGCGGTCCTGACACCAAGCAACACAAACGGAAGGGATTCGGTCCACTTCGGATTAGTGTGAGCTTTGAGGGATGCCTTCAACTGTCTATGTAGGCGTTCTACGAGTCCATTCGCGGAAGGGTGATAGGATGTCGTGCGGATTCGCGTGCAGCCGAGCATGTCTGTGAGAGCTCGGAAAAGTGAGGACTCAAATTGTCGTCCCCTGTCGGTAGTGATGGTGGAAGGTGCACCGAAACGGGCCACCCAATGGGTGATGAAAGCTCGAGCAACCGTCTCTGCCGTGATGTCAGGGATGGGTATGGCCTCCGGCCATCGGGTGAAGCGGTCAACGCAAGTTAGCAAGTATGACTGTCCATTGGAAGGCGGAAGCGGGCCAACGAGGTCAATGTGGACATGGGCAAACCTAGCGTCGGGCGTGGAAAATGTTCCCAAAGGTGATTTGGTGTGTCTATGAATCTTGCAACGTTGACACTGGTGACACCTTTTAGCCCAGGTCCTGACGTCTTTGTTGATACCGGGCCACACAAAACGTGCAGAGACTAAGTGCTGCGTCGCTCTGATACCAGGGTGAGACAAGCCATGTAATGCATTGAAAATGGGCCATCGGAACTTGTGAGGAACATAAGGCCTAGGATTGTCCGTAGTCGTGTCACAGATGATGGTGCCAGGCGATGTGGGGAGAGGCACTGTGATGAGTCGTAACGAAGTGTTGGTCAGGTTGAGTAATTCCGCATCGGTCTGTTGGGCAGCGGCTATGGCCTCAAAATCGATGACATCGGAAACCTCCAAAGCATTGATTAGTGCCATGCGTGAAAGTGCATCTGCTGCCGTGTTAGATTTCCCACTGATGTGACGGATGTCAGACGTAAACTGTGAGATGTAATCAAGATGACGAACTTCACGTGGTGAATGGCGATCTGGCTTGGAATGCATAGCGTAGGTGAGTGGTTTGTGATCTGTGTAAATGCAGAACGAGCGACCTTCGAGCATATGACGGAAGTATTTCACGCTGAGGTAAATTGCGAGGAGTTCTCTGCCAAATGTACTATAGCGTGTTTCGGCCGGTTGGAGACGCTTCGAGAAGAAGGAGAGAGGTTGCCATGTTCCATCTACACATTGTTGTAGAACACCCCCGACTCCCACATCTGATGCATCGGTGAGAAGGCACAATGGTGCCTCAGCCTTTGGGTGGACCAACAGCGTTGCATCTGCTAATTTTGCCTTGACGCGCTCGAATGCTGACCGGGCACGCTCGTCCAACTCGATGGGCTGGTTTTTCTTCTTACAGTTCTTGAGCATGTCAGTGAGAGGTTGAACGGTGTCTGCACAATTGGGGATAAACCGTCTGTAGAAGTTGATCAACCCAAGAAATTCTCGTAACTTGCTAAGTGACTCCGGCACTGGGAATTCCTGGATGCTCTTCACCTTGTCTGCCAACGGGCGGATACCAAACTGATCAACGTGATGGCCGAGAAAAGTGAGGTTGGGAACTCCAAACTGACATTTGCCTGGATTAATGACCACGCCATACTCAGCTAGACGATCAAACAGCCGTCGGAGATGATCCAAGTGCTCCGCCTCGGAAGTGCTTGCCACCAATAGGTCATCGAGATAGACGTAGACAAAAGGCAAGCCTCGGGTTACTTCGTCGATGAACCGCTGGAAAGTTTGCGCTGCATTCCGCAGCCCAAAGGGCATGCGCACAAACTCGTAAAGTCCAAAGGGCGTAGTTATGGCGGTCTTATGGACATCAGCAGGCTCGACTGGTAGTTGGTGATATGCCCGGATCAAGTCTATTTTGGAGAAAACCGTGCAACCGTGCAGGGATGATGAGAAATCCTGTAGGTGTGGGATCGGGTAGCAGTCGGGTACGGTGCATTTGTTGAGTGCCCTATAGTCTCCGCAAGGGCGCCAGTCACCAGGCGTCTTTTTTGGCACCATGTGCAGAGGCGAGGACCAATTGCTGCAGGATGGCTGTATGATGCCCAACTCCAGCATGTGATCGAACTCGGCTTTCGCAACGTGCAGACGATCAGGTGCGAGTCGTCGGGGACGAGCACCGACCGGGGGTCCCGTAGTCTCAATATGATGGGTGATGTTGTGTCTCACTTCTGTATGCGTATACACCGGACGAGAAATCCTGGGGTATTCTTGAAGTAGAGTGTCATAGCATGAAGCTGATGCAACCACAAACATAGGACTGACGGAAGCTGTATGCGATGAAATCCCTTGTACAGAAAGATTCGTGTTGGTATCGATGAGTCGATTGTGTCGTACATCAACCAATAAATCAAAGTGGCGGAGAAAATCTGCACCAATGATTGGTGTTGGTAAGTCAGCAATGATGAATACCCAACGAAATACACGCCTCAACCCAAAATCTAATGTTACAGATTTTTCTCCGTAGGTCTTGATAGGCGAAGCATTGACTGCCTGTAAGTTAACGGAAGTAGATTGCATCTTAAGTTTAGGGTTATGTGGAAGGACACTTACTTCTGCCCCGGTGTCGACCAGGAAACGTGTTCCCATCTGCTTATCCGTGATGTAAAAGAGGCGACTGGGTATGGTGTTGCCAGGCTGACTTGTCGCCGCTAGCCGCTGGCTTGGGGGTTTTCCGAGACTGGTGGAGTACGGCGGGAACACGGGCTGGTGCACTTGGTTGCCTTGCTACCAAACTTCCAGTGATACCAGCACTGTCGGTCTCCAGACCGACCGGCGGGGGCGCTGGGACTGCGGTCAGCAGGGTAGGTGCGGGATTTTGGACGACCACGGCTACGGCTTCGGGCCTGTCCACGCTGTAATTGTGTCGTCAAGGCTTGGACTTGACGCGTGAGTGAGGCCATTTGGTCTTGCAGTACCAGGATATCCGGATGAGCTTGCGGCAGTTGGGTCTGTGGTGGAGAATAGGGAGCGGGGGCTGCAATTCCAACAGCTGACGCGGTTGAAGGGGGAGAAACTTCCACGATCTTGTCAGCTAAATCAGCCAACTGTTCAATACCTACGGAATCAGCCATGGAGGCAAGAATAGACTGCGTACTGGTCGACAAACGTTGCAGGAAGAGCTGTTTCAAGATCTTATCCTCCAGTGAACTGTCTCCGAGGAGCTGCCGCATCCGGCGTAGTAGCTGGGACGGTTTGCGATCTCCGAGCTCTTCTGAGATGAGTAGTTGGTGGAGGCGTTTCTGCTCCGACAGGGAGGTCCGGCGAATCAGCTCTGATTTAAGACGGTCATACTGGTCAGTAGTGGGTGGTGTGATCAGAAGATCCCTGACCTCCTGAGCTATCTCTGGCTGCAGAGAGGCAATGACATATGCGAAACGGGTGGCCTGTGTTGTGATGTTGCGAGTGAGGAACTGGGCCTCAACTTGCGCGAACCACAGAGTAGGGTCATTTGGCCAGAATGGTGGCAGTTTGAGACTGACCGCGGCGACTGGGTGCAGAACTGGCTTAGGTGGTAGGGCGCCCTCAGGGGCGGCAACGTCGGCGGGGGCTGGGTCCGGCATGGCCGAGTTGAAATATAAAACAACGTGTGATGTGTACCCACGGGCGAGACACGAATGATGATGAGGGAGACCAGAGAATTTGCGAACCTTTTCCAGGTGTGCAGGGTCACCAATGTAGGGTATTTTTGGTTATACTCAGTACGAAAGCTGTTGTCAACTCACCAAGAGATTTGTCCGAGAATTGGGCACGAGTCCACACGCTCGGTCTTCTCGCCGCGGGACGAATATTGACTCTGTCGATCGCGATATTTCTCCTGGCGCGGATGCACGAACCACTGTTCGTATAGAGTTTTTATCCACGAGGATTGTTCAGGACACAAACAGACGATTACTGACTTGACGAAAAACACACGAAGACGATGATAAACGCTGATAAAATACTGCTGAAGATTGGTGCTCAAAAATGTCAAAACGCGATAACTCGTAACTTTTCACCAAAGACAGAACACATGGAAAAACCCACACAGAGCACATGTGGACGCACCAGCGAATATATACATGTATGTACAATACAGGGTACCAGTCAAAGATGTTCGCTGGCGTTGATTGGCGAGTTCTTTACATGTGACGCCAATGTTGTTATTTACATTAAGCCGCGTAATGGTTAAAGGGGCAGTCACTACAACCTCGTTACAGAAGCTTATTTCACGCCTACATTTTCTCTGTGTCCTTCTCTATTGATCCAGGGGTTCAGGAATTCCATATATGATGCTGACCGACATTAATCAGGAAAATAAACTCTAAAGCAACGTCAAACTTGTACGTGTTTGTCAGCCTTAGTTGTCACCCACACTGAATGCCCCCGCTGCGCTCATCTCCCATATTAAAGTTTGATGGACGAGTGGGTGTGCATTTCCCTGCGTGTTTGTGATCCCCCGTTCCATCAATGTCACATTTTTTGCACAGATTGTTCTCCTGGTGGTACATGACAACATACTTGCTGGCTGAAACATTTTCAACAACAACATCTCTTGCCTGGGTGGCTGCGATGATGTTTTTTTTTCTTGCGACAATTTCAAAGGGATTGCTATATTGTCTGTCAGTTTCCACTTCAGTTGCATAGTGTCTCTCGTAACCCTGCAGTTCATGAATGTCTTTCACGATTTTTCTTTTGTTGCACATGTCCATTTCATTTTCTGTGGTGATAATTTCTCCACATTTGTTTGATGTATTTTGCAGGGAACTTGTTGAGGGAACAGATGTGTCCATTGCAGAACAGTTTTGTCTTGTCAATGCAGAACCCACACTTTTGGCAGGACATTACCTTGGACACAGCCAAACCTCGGCCCTCCTCAGCATCTGGCATCAATGTGGGCCGGCCGCTGCAATCAGGATGTGTGCGTTGGTGATCTAGGATAGCCTGCGCACCCAAGTCGACTGCAGATTTGATGTCGACGAACCGGTAGGCTGCTCGCATCCCTCCAAAGGACTGATCAGCTGGGCTCTGGTGCTGGAGTTCTCTTCTACATTGGGGCTGTGGTACTGCTTCCTTTTGTCAAGGGGAGTAGTCTGAGCAACTTTTGGTCGAAGCAGCATGACTTTCCTTGTTGGCACTGCAATTGGGGGTGGTACAGATGAACCCATGCTCATCTCTTTCAACAGTAAGTTCCATCTGCTGTTGTGTGGGATTGTGTTGACTGCTGGTGAGTTCATCTGAAAATGACAGATTGGGGATTTACACTTTGCAGTGAATAGTTTATGGCCATTCTGGAACCAGCAATTTCTTCCTTTTGTACACTGCTCGTCCCGATCGACCCATGCTGCTGCAGAAATAGCTGGCTCTTCAAATTTGAGATTTGTTTTTCCCCTGTGTGAGCATGTGACAGAATGCATGTGGTCACACTCACAGTCAACGCCAGAGTGATGACTACAGCACAAGTTTGGTAAAAAAAATTCCAGAAGCCAGTACATAAAGATTATTTCTTTTGTTATTTCATGGGAGGGGGATGGGGTTGGAAGATTTACAGTGGAATCTTTGGAGACAGTTATTAACCCAGCTGGTGCTAAAGTGGCCGGACTGTGATGAGGACATGCCGGGGAGCCATTAAAAGGGTCATATTTTAAAAACATGCACACTGTGTGTCAGTGATATAAAAAATTATAAAGGTGTCGTCAAAGTATGCCTATTAAGCTGACATGCTCATCAGGAAATGTGAATTCCTGATGAGCATGTCAGCTGGAGTTACTCAAGCTAGGCTAAAGCAAACTTCTCAATATAAATATGACACTTTTTCTGTATTTTTTGGAAAATTAATTAGAAAAAAATGTTGCACCCTGACGCCACTTTAGCGGTTGTGTGAAAAGTCTATGGAGAGTCAAGAAAATTTCCAAGTATTTCCTTGCAAAATTAGAAATGTTTCTGAGTCCTAGATTCATGTCTTATCAGTTTTGCAATGACTGACCTTCATTGAGATGATATATGAAGAAAACAGCCAGGTTGCAACATTTTTTACAATTAACTTTAACAAAGAGACAAATTTCATTAATTTTGGGCAAAATTGAGCAGTTAGGGTAAGTGAAACCTATCTGTCTGAATGATTTCCATGAATTGTTATATATTTTTTCAAATTACCAACCCAAAATCTACAATTCAGCACTGATAAAAATTAAAAAGAAAAACCACCACCACCCCCCCCCTTGCAAAGATTCATGGATCCACCACTGGAATGAATTGAAGCCCAAAGTCCAAGTCAAAGGTGCATTGCCGTACATCCCTTCAATTCCCAAACTTAACCATGTGTACGGTACTTTGAAGCATATAGCACGAATGGAACCGGAAGTTAACGCAACTTGAGTGTTTAGCCAATGGGCGCTAGTAATCAGTGGTGTACGTGCGTGTATGACGTATTTACTAACAAACTGGATTCCATGGTTCTAAGAACTCTCTAATAATTGAGTGTATACTTTTATTCATGAGTTCGGCGGAGGGAATAGTTTACCTTTTTACTTGGTTGTACCCTTTAGACTGATAAAGGTAGCTATTGGCGAGCCGGGCGCGGACATCCAGGAGTTTTTACATTGGCGTGTCTAGCTCCCAGACCTACCGGTATGTTCTTGAAACTCGATGGTTCTTGAGTCAGGAGTACAAGCTAAATGGTAACACATACATGTAGCAACCGGTGAAGGTGTGCAAATGAATTCAATGAACACAACTGTTTTCATCGAATGGCTTCACTCTGCCCCAACCAATATACCGGTAGATTTCCTTTAGCCATGCTCTGTTTATATCTCGCGAGCTTTGAAAAAAATTCTACAGTAGTCGTTCATAGGGCTCCAATTTCCCTCTAATTTCTTTGGAATGGCAGATGCTGATTCCTATGCCACTGGAAATGCTGGAAGTTCTTGGATTACATGTACAAAATGTATCTCTTATGTTAAGAATGCAGATTGTGCAAGTTAGATGAACCAATCTTCCTGCCCGTGAAACATCAAATGCCAGGAATTGTGACGTTGCTTAAATGTGCGCATGCATGTTAAATGTATACATGTTTTTATTATTTGATAATTACTGTTATTGTATTAATTTCTGTTGTGTTGCAGACCGTGTTGGAAGTACATGTACAGTGTATATTGCTGCATACACAAGTGCCTGTGTCCGTCCAGTTCCTGTTCTGATGTAGCAGCCGTCCCAGCCCATGACTCTGTTCAGGTTTGGTGCATGACTCAGCCCTATCCCCTGTTTCCTTTCCTTGCTTGCTTCAAGGCAGGTAAGTCTTGTTTTGAATTTTTATGGAAAGGGTTATTGTTCAGGTTTTGGACATGTACAAGCTTTCCACTTCAAAGACAAGCATCGTACGTGTGCCCCATCATTATGTAGTTAAAAGGCAGAAAATAGTGTAACATCTCTCTTGGGTGGAGTCGTTATAAAATAAGAGTCAAAGATACGGCATCTTACACACTAGGCCTGTACATTCACGGGTTATTGTGGATCCAGGTACCCAAACTCCGCAATGACAGGTTTGGCTCTCTGGTACCCGAAAGTGGACCGTTCAGAAAAAAAACACAAACAAAACACCTTGTATGCTGTCAAGATGTAGTAACATTAATATCCTGTCAAAATGGGTTTTTAAAAAACAAACAGGTAAATATAGTTGTGCGGCCGCTAAAGAAAGAAATTTTTACTTTTTATACGTACGTGTAGCAAGTTGGATGTAGATCTGACTTGATTTCACTGTTTCCACGTGAATTGACTTCCGAGAAAATTGGAATTAAAATGCAGTATTAAAGTGGCCGTCGTTTACGGAAAAAAATCCTTAACTTGACAATTGTAAAGTTGCAATTGTAATGCTTGTTTTTAATTCACGAGGTAATGACCCTGCAGTGTTTAGACGACGAGGCCTACAAGTTTAAGAGTTACGGATGTGAGATTGCGCAACAGCAATGGTATTTCAAAGGACCCCTGATATTAATTAAGCCCCACATGTGCACTGCACAGAGTGTGTTATACTGTGCTGATTGGACGGCATGTGTGCGAGGTGGAATCACTGTCTTTGTTGCGTGATTGGTCTACTACGACTTAATTCTTGGCCACTTTTATGTGTTCTTTTTGGTTGTTCAGGAATCGGGGCGGGCCCACTGCTCTCTATGCACTGGATCATCAGTGCAGCAGGGATTGTCAATATGCGTGATTTGAATTCACCGCGCAGTCATCTTGGTAGAGGCCCATTCACAAACTGCATTCATGTAATGCAGAGGCTTCAATCGCAGTCATTCATTGGCGGAGCCGCGCCAGTGTATAGATATCAGTGGGCGAGCCGCATGCATGTCACAACGTCTGTAACAGCCTGTGATTGGTCAACTGCATGGAATGGGCCACAATCAATTTGTAAAGTCAAGCCTCGTCCAAAGCTATGTATTGCGGCAGTTCTTAAAAAAATCTCTAGTCTATGTCAAAAATATCTAGCACAATGGATAAAAGGGGTCATATAGTGTAACAGGCCATCTTAGACAAGGTTACGATCTTGGCTTTGTGCTTGTTACTGATTCCAATTATTTCAGGGACGCTAGGATCTTTGATGTCTGTTTCTGCTCTAAAGCACTTTTGTTGCTGTGGTGCTTCGTCTGAAGTGGCCCACAAGTTGACTTGCCCCCTATATTGCAGTCTGAATTTGGCGTGACACATCAAGTCCCTTGTTGATGGAGAGTTGTAACTTATGCATAGCACGGCCAACATCAAGGGTGTTGTTCTGTTGCCCCATGTCCTTGACATTGCAGCATTATCGTGCACATCGGCCGACACTTTCCCTGTCAGCTCCCAGTGCGTAATAACTGTGCAAGACGGGCCAATAGGTCTCTAGTGTCTTCAGTTGGACTTGAAGTGGGTATAAGGACGGGTGATGTAAGTTACTCTGTACATTTTCTGATTCTAGTATCAAATTTGGCAATGCGCTCTGCGCTGTCATTTTAATCTTCTTGGTGGTTGCTTGAGCATCTGATTGCTCTATTTCCTGGGTGCATATGTGTTTACAGAGATCCTCTTTAGCGTGATACCTGTAACAGTTTTGAATGGGAAAATAATCGTAAGGATTTACATCATATGGCCAGTAAACAACAGTCCTGATTCCTTTACCTTCTTGTAGAACAGAACATACATGTTGTATATGTTGTGTTATGGTACTGAACCTGAATAAGTTGATGCCATGTTAATGGATCTAATTTTGAAGACAAGCGGTACTCTTTAAAAAAGAAGGAAATTTTAAGTCATTGCCGGCCCATGGCCGGACCAACACGATCCATATCATGCGATAACATCTGTCGTGCGTGGACTGCCATGTTCAGGCCTTGAATTAGGGAATTTTTAGGGCAAGGCCACTTTGGCCTTGAATGAAGCAAAATTATAGAGGGCACCAAGGCCAGTAGGAAGGGCACCAAGGCCAAACTAATGTGCAAAAGGGGGCACAGAGGCCAGCTAAAAAATTGCGAATTTATATCAGCAATCATGTAGTTTAGGGCCCCTCTTAGTTTCGATCAACTTTGAGTCAAAGGTGTTTTTATTATTCAAAAAATTACCTTTTTAACCTAAAGCAGACTTCTCTCAGCTTAAATGACACCTATTTTGTTATTTTGAACACTTTTTGGGGATAGAAATTACGTATTTTGTAAGCGGTTTGGTTAGTGACGTGCGATCGCCATCTCTATTTTCGTGTTGCATTTTTTCATGTCGTTGTCATCGTCATTTTACACCCGAATTCCCCTCAAAAATTCCAAACCCTTCCCTCTATCTATGACCTACCTGCATGTTCTTAATGTGGATTATAAATTGATTTTGTTATCTTAGGGAATTGGGCCCATAATTAATACCCGATCGCCATATGCATCCGCTTTTGACAATCGGAACGCCATGTGCTAGCGTGTTTTGACTACTGCCCCGAGCTGGTTTGCCTCGTACAGGACATGCACGAACATCTATGCGTTCTGTACCGCGCATGCAGGCACTGAGAAAATACAGGAACTGGAGGTTCATTTGTCAGTGTACGTACGTACGTATGTGTGCATGTGTACAATGGGGAATCGCCGGTGTTTGGCCGCGGCCGGCTGGTCGTACTGCGCATGTGATTGATTCAGCGAGATTTTACGACAACTGATTGGGCTGGCATGGCATCGAAATAAATTGTCAATGTGTGAAAAAACAACTGAAATCAAGGATTGTAGTGGTTTTAATAGGCTGACCGATGTTTTTGCAAAAAGGGCACGACGGCCAGGTAAATATGGGGCAAGGCAAAAGTGGCCGTGAAGACGGGCATTTTTTGTGGGCCACCTCGGCCAGTAAGAAGGCAATGACGGCACTGGCACGTGGTGACGTTCACACAGAAAATTGTGCTTCATAAAATCACCACAAACAAAAGCATTGCTTTAATAAAAGCAGAAAATGCACTAGTGCTAATGTGCTTCCCGAAGCACGGATATCAGCCTAAATAGCCGCTTTAACGGTTCGTCTGCACATCTGTTCCTTACTCTATGGTCTGAACTGACTCGCGTGCACTGTCAAAATTGCTTGGTCTAAACCATTAACTGACAACATTTGACATTACACCCACCGAGAAAATACATGAAACATTGGTAATCTCTGTAGATGAATCCTCCTTAAACATCAAAAATTGATCACAGCGATAGTGTTGTTTATTGGCCTTCGTACTTTTGAATATACAGTGTAGTCATGCCGATCACAAAACCTGCCATATCTGTGTTTCACACATTGCATGCAGTGTATGCTAACCCTGCAAGTTTATAAAACAAAACTTGCCGTAACTCGGTTTCTGCGAATACACTGCCCCCCCCCCCCCCAAGCTGATAACAAAACTTGTCATATGTGTGTTTCCCGCAATGCACGAAGTGTATGCTAACTAAGCAAGTTTATACAAAACTTGTCATAACTCAGGTTCCTCGAATACACATAATGCATGCGAACTGGCCCGGTACCGAGCTGATAACAAAACTTGCCATATCTGTGTTTCCCGCAATGCACGTCGTGTATGCTAACCAAGTTTGTACAAAACTTGCCATAACTCCATTTCCTCGAATACACAGAGATTCCAACATTGAATTTCTAAAAAGAGTAGCAAGTAAATTTTTTTTATTTGCGAGTGCGAAGCCTAAGTGTTTTCTAAGTAAATGCTTCGTTTTTGTCAATGCTAAATTTGACTTTTTAGGACTTGTTATTGCATTTCATGGCTGCCATTGAAAATAGAAAAACACTGTACAAAGTCTTGAAAAGATTTTAGTTTCCTCTTTTTTTGTGACTTCCCAGTTGCATGCCTGAAACCATAATCGTTACTCTATGTTATGCTACCTAGCTCATTTTCAGGCAATGTTGTGATGAACAAACAGACAGTTTTTGTATTAGCATCAACAGAACTAGACTGTTTTAATGTAAAGTCTCATCCACCCTCCTTTCCACAAATTACAATCACCAGTTAGTACATGTACACTGTAGTTGTGTTGGCACTGTTACTTGCAATCTTGTAATGTGATGTTATCTAGCTAATTTTCAGGCACTGTTGTGATGAATAAACAGATAATGCATCAACAGAACAACTAGACTTGTTTATGTAGAAAGTCTTATTCAGCTTCCTTTCCAAAAATTACAAAACAGTACTCACATGAATTCTGTTAGACAGTTGAAAGAATCAAAATGGACATGTTTACTTGGATCCAGACAGCTGGGCATATGTTGCCGACTTAGCCTTCTGCAGAGTGGCTAGGCTGTAGGTTTGGCGGTGGCACACTGTACCCTTTGCAACTATAAATTGTTTGTGGGTGATCAGACTACTCAGGGTCTCCGTCTTCATATTGGGGCGAAACTCCGTCCTGTTTTTCGTGACCAGACTAAAGATTCTCTCACAGTCTGCGTTGGAATGAAATATACAAAGAATGGCTAGCATCACCTTGGACAAGAGGCTGTATATCAGTTGACCATTGCCATCTTTTTGCCGGCTCATTAGATGCCACTGAGTGTCAGCTCTGTCGCAACTTGTGATGCTTTCCGGCAAGTCCCTTGTTTGATAAACCATGAACTCCCTTTCAAGCTTGTCATTGTCGTTAGAATTAAGTTGGATGCAGAGAAAATGTTGGACGAAGAATTCAACAGAGGCAAATTCCATGTCTTCTCCAACAGTCACGTCAACAACTGCAGCATGAGAAAGTACGGGATCATCATATGGGAATTTCTTCAGCATGTACTCCACAGCCTTGGAGAAGAAGCGACGTACAGAAGCATAAAATTTGGGGAGATCCAGCTCCTTGCTATTGGTGTTTGCTGCAATGAAGTCATTTGTTTTCTTTCCCACAAACAGGCTTTGATCACTCTTCTGATTCTGGATGTTTTGGTGCTGCACTTGAGTGATTTTCTTAGATGCATTGACAACACTTGGCTTGACAAAGCAGTTTAGCAGATCCTTCAGTTGTTGGAGTAGAGTTCTGAGTAGAATGTGGATGCATGGCTTGTCCAGTTGCAGCAAGGTATTTGCCTGATCAAAGATTAGCAGTACAGCATCTAAGAAGTAGCAGAAGAGTTGGAAGTTCAAGTCCTGCATATTCTTGCGTACTCTCTCCACTCTCTGTTGTGGCAATGATCTGGAACTTGGCTGTGGTCTTTGCTGGCCATCTGTCTTCTGCCGTGTTGACGTAGATTTCGAGCTCTTGTCCAGATCGGCAGTTTTTTTCTGAGCCTGCTTTGACCCAGCCAGACTCCCCTGCTGGAAGAGACATCCTGACAGGTCAAACTCTCCATCAACCCTCTGTTGAGAGTTTTCACTGCCACTGTTGCTGCTGGTGGCCTGTGTGCTTTTGCTGCTGGGTTGGGTGCCCTTGCTGGTGGCCTGGGTGCTTTTGCTGCTGGGTTGGGTGCTCTTGCTGGTGGCCTGGGTAATCTTGCTGCTGTGTTGGGTGCTCTTGCTGGTGGCGTGGGTAATCTTGTAGCTGGATTTGGTGCTCTTGCTGGTGGCCTGGGTAATCTTGCTGCTGTGTTGGGTGCTCTTGCTGGTGGCCTGGGTAATCTTGCTGCTGTGTTGGGTGCTCTTGCTGGTGGCCTGGGTAATCTTGCTGCTGGGTTTGGTGCTCTTGCTGGTGACCTGGGTAATCTTGCTGCTGTGTTGGGTGCTCTTGCTGGTGGCCTGGGTAATCTTGCTGCTGTGTTGGGTGCTCTTGCTGGTGGCGTGGGTAATCTTGCTGCTGGGTTTGGTGCTCTTGCTGGTGGCCTGGGTAATCTTGCGGCTGGATTGGGTGCTCTTGCTCTCAATCAACTTGAACTGTTTGTTGTGAGACGCTGTGATCGTTGTAGAGCGCCATATAAATGCTTGGTATTATTATTATTAACTGGTCTTTGAAATACCTCAGCAAAGCAGGCCATTGCTCGAGCAACCTACTTATGCATTGGGAGAGGGAGAGCCAGCGTGTGCTGACATACTTCACAATTTTCTTTATCTGAACACCACACGGTTTTTGAAACTGCACAAGTTCTTGCTTTCTCTTGCTGGACTTCTGAAAGTAAAAGTAAATGTCCACAAGCCCATCTTCAACAGACACTGGAAATTGAGCATTAGCTTTCTCAGCTGCGAGATGCATTAGATGACATGGGCATCCAAGCATATAGATGGCATCGTTGGTCCTCTTGATGTAGCCTGCCAAACCACGCTGCATTCCTAGCATGACATTGGCGTTGGACATTGGTTAAATTGAAACTTCAAGTCTACATTTTGGTGGGACAATTTCACTGTCATCAGTTGAACTACTGGAACCTTCGTCACTTGATGAGTCTTCTGTATCTTCAACATCAGGGAGAGCTGGGGCAGCTGGTGGAGGTGGGCAAGTGATATTGCGTGTCTGAGGGGTGCAGTACTCGCGTATACTATGGAACAGGTACTCCAAACGCTTCGCAGACAGACCTGGGGGAGGAGTTGGCGCAGGAAGTTTCTTGGCAGGCATGGCAATGGGACTGAGTAAGAGCTGAACTCTTGTCTCTGGAGAGTCAGCGTAGGCTTTCACGAAGGCTGCCCTGGATCATCTTTGCAGAACCTTTAATAAAGCAAATGGAAATAATTCTATTTGAATATTATTACTTAATATTAAGTTTTAATATTGGGAGCACAAGTAGAATGGTTTGTATGATGGTGGTGGTGCTAGGAAGGGGTTACAGAGCTTATAAAGGAACAACCACATGAAGCATAAACAATAAGTCCAAAACAAATTCTGCTGTCGAGGGTAGGTAGTTGGGAAATTTAGTTTTTGCACTTTTGTTCAATGCAGATTAGATTGACATCATAGCGCAAAACACAGACTTTTCCGGGTTTCATTTAACCTCATGTGGTGGTAGCCTTTGATACCTGGTAGAACTCGGAAGAAGGGTTTCAGGAATGCCTGCCAGTTGTACATCACGGTGCTGGTACCATCCTCGGTGCCAACAAGCTGTGGAATGTTCACACCACTGGTTGTACTTGTGCAAACAACCTCCTCAAGATCGCCTGGGCAGCTTACGACGCACTTCCTATACCTCTGTTTAAGCAGGCCAAAGCACCAATCCGGTGAAAATTTTGTGTGGCCGGCAATGAGGAAATTTACGGTTATGCTATCATGAAAACCATGAATTGTTGGCCAGATAAAATACCACATGACAAAATTGTTCTTGTTCTGCCCAGAACAATTGTCACAGTGGAGTTCAACGTCCTTCTCACCCTGGCCATAGTGCAGAAAAAAATGATGTAAATAACTCAACACTGCGTTAGATCCCTTGGATGCTGACATGCCCTCGTCCACTAGGTAATTTACTTGTTGAGGTATTCCTTCGCAGCAAACTTCAAATATGCCGCACTTACTGTACGAAGGCAAAGGAAATACAAGGGTCCTGGTTGGTTCGGATTGAGGGGATAGTGGACTTGCTGCGCAAAGTTGAAGCTGTAATGCACTGTTCCCCGTCGAGAAGCTGGCTGATGATGACCAAGGTGTTCGTCCCAGACAGCCTGCTGGCAATTTTCAACCATGGACCAGTAGAGTTCACGATCCAGGTTCACAACCCGTAGGTGCTCTTCCTGCCGTCTCAGCTGTTCCAGCTTTTCTCCCTCCAGCTGGTTGGCGCTCTGGTAAACAAGGCTATTGTTGTGTTGACATACCCAGCATAGATCTGTCTTCAGTCTGGTGGGCAACACAGCTTTGAGAATGTCCATCGCTTCACAATGCAAAACTCTGGATCGCCTGGCATCAGACATGAAAAAAATAAATATAAAATTAATTCTACAATCCACCATAACGTGGGCTTACTGGCATTATTGTGGTGTACAATAATAACAATGACCCTCTTTTCCTATCATTTAACAAATTGATAATTGTTTTTATTAATGAATATACCTGCAAGTCTCCGTGTCGAGTTCCTATCTTCCAAGTAAGTCTTGTATTTCCTCCATACTGATGATTTCGTCTCAGATGAAGGAAGTAGACGTACCCTTGGGTCCTGGCACTTCACCCCACTGACATGACCAGGTATCACCAATGCATGCTCCTCGGCATAGGAGCTGATGAACTGGACCACCCGCTCAATGTCCTTTACCTTCAGAGCTTTTCTGTTAAGCCTCCTTCCTCCTGACTTGGTGTTATGGGGGCAGCTCCTTCTTGTCTATGGGTCATTCCGCCAGGTTGGGTCAATAAGTGTGACACACATAACAAAATTTCAAAGTGCAGCTTTTCAAATTTTAAGCAAATATTAAAAGTCCACAAATATTCACCATTCATAATTTCTTAAACTTTTTATTGCAGCATGTGCATGGAAAATGCAGTAATCTATTACAATAACAGTGTGCACTTTCCAAATACCCATGTAACAAGGACACCATTCTAACACCAATATAGTTATAGCAAGGTATAGGTCACAGATAAAGTTTCCCAATGGCTCATTTTATTTGTTGTTTTGGTAATCAATAACATTTCATGCATAAACATTGCAGCCAAGATAGAAATTCTTACATTTTAATTATATAAATTCAGTGGGAAAACAATCTACTGTATATGGTGAAGTTAAATGATATGCAAAAAATTCCCTCTCCTTAGCAATATTCCTGTTTTCTCAAGACTCACTCCATGACAGCACTTATTTTGGCTTCTGCAGAGAAGAGCAGAAATGAGCAACACAACTATGAACAATTGTAATGCTGCACGATCAGGAAATGGATTAAATTTGTTGCTCATATAGATGTTACCCACGTAACAAGGACACCGTATCTCTGTTACATCTTTCATTGCAAGGCTTTAAAGTTTGAGTCAAGAAACTAAATGTTAATATGTTGGATATTCAAATAAAACTTGACCACTCAACATGGTGGTTGAAGTATACTTTGCATTCAGTTCTGAATCACTCAGTCTGTGACTTGTCAGGTGTCGACTGCCTTCATCATCGTTTGTAAAGGTAAGATGGTTCACACACAGCGGTTATTTACATGTATGTTTTCCCCAATTTTAAGCACTTGTGACAGCTCATTTACATATTTATCCTGCACAGCGCCCTCGCTTGACCCTTAAGGTAAAGCTCACACTTGTCCTTTGTCTTGAGTGAGTCATTCCACCACTAGCTCTGTCACTGTTAACACCGCACAGCTAGTGTCCTGCTTCCTTCTACACATGTTCTTAGTTAATGCCTCAAGATTTTGTGGATGACTCGACTGGGGTAAGAATTCATTTATATTGTTTTAATAGTTGTTCTTATTGCTGAAGTTCCTAAGTTTCTTTTTATTGAGACTTTGTGGACACTTTTTGATTAATTCTGAAGTTAGCTTGAGTATTCTTAAACTTTACTCTGATTACTGAAATTTAAAGTGGATTCATTCATTGATGGTCTTTAGGAAGCCCAGATTCACTGTGTTGTTGTATTTATTATTGCATATTTAGGAAAGATCATCCTTTTGATGACTTTCTGTGTTTAGAGATATAATCTATTTCCATGGATTTGAAGGATTTAGATTTCCCTAACTTTGATTACATGTACATGTATATCCACCTTATTTCTTGTTCACATTTAGTTATTTTCTTGAGTACACAAAGTTCAAGAATAGATTTCCTTATTTTACAATATATTCCTCATCATCTATTTTCCACTTTTTTATGAACATATTCTTAGATTTATACTTAAGTGTATAAATTCATAGTTCCTTTGTCCTGTGTAGATGCCCATAGTGCAGTGTAGTATAGCCACTGTTTAGACCCTTAATCCCCTAAGTTGCTGCATATATAATGAGGTGCACTCAGTTTCTTGGAAGACACCATACCTTAGTACAGGGAGGCAGGAAGTCTGCCAAGTATGTTTATTACCCTGCAGAGATTTCTTTTGTCCAGTGTTTATTGGAGCGTGTGACCTAAGATACCAGTAGTGTCTTATTAGACTGGCACACTAGTCCTTAAGTTTATGTGATGCAGCATATATTACTCATATTTCTCTTTTTACACTTAATTAAGCATGCCATCTGCATATTTGTTTAGCATTTATTTAGTTATGTTATTTCTCCATAGTCCTTTCTTATGATATTAATTCATTTTTCCTAAGTTAGTTTCTTTATGGATCCTTAGGTTATAATGATGAGTGGACTGATTTAAGTCTATGGTTTGCTGAGTCCATAGTCATATATTTAGAGGTCACTGCACATGTGCTTTAGTTATTTCCTATTTTGTCTTTGCAAGTTAAAGCATTCACATGCCTTGTATTAATTCATTTTGGAATTTAACTTGACTTTACGGTTAGAAGCAAATTGTGTTATCGAGTTCGATTTATCTCTTTTGATTGCATTAGATTCTCTGAGGATTATTATTGTTCTTTTTATAATTATCTTTGCTGGATTGGTATTTCCTAAAGCATTGTATTTATATGGAATTTCTATTTTGTATCTTTTCAGGGTTTGTTTTGTTTGTGTAAGATGCAGTTCACCATTAAATGAACCAGTCACAGTAAATGTACACCATCCTTGTCGTGTCACATTTCCCAGTGTCACACACTCTTGTTACAAGTCTAGAAACAATACAATTTCAACTTCTCAAATATTCACCATTCATAATTTCTATAATTTTGTATTGCAGCATGTGCATGGAAAATGCAGTAATCTATTACAATAACAGTGTGCAATTTCCTAATACCCATGTAACAAGGACACCATTTTAACACTGTAGTTATAGCAAGGTCTAGGTCACAGATAAAGTTTCCCAATGGCTCTTTTCATTTGTTATTTCGGAAATCAATAACATCTCACCCATATACATTGCAGCCAAGATGGAAATTCTTACATTTTAATTATATAAATTCAGTGGGAAAACAATCTACTGTATATGGTGAAGTTAAATGATATGCCAAAAATTCCCTCTCTTTAGCAATATTCCTGTTTTCTCAAGACTCACTCCATGACATCACTTATTTTGGCTTCTGCAGAGAAGAGCAGAAATGAGCAACACAACTATGAACAATTGTAATGCTGCACGATCAGGAAATGGATTAAATTTGTTGCTCATATAGATGTTACCCACGTAACAAGGACACCGTATCTCTGTTACATCTTTCATTGCAAGGCCTCAAAGTTTGAGTCAAGAAACTAAATGTTAATATGTTGGATATCCAAATAAAACATAACCACTCATAATCGTGTGATTTGTAATATTTTTGTGTTCATGTTGTTCACTTCTTAAAATTAAAAACCATTCTGGAGCCTATCAACACCGGTTCAGGAGCACTGAGCTTCTGTTTGACGTCACAGAGCGGATGATGATAAATATGCTCTTCGCCCAGGGGCCAAGTGTAAAAAGCGCCTTGACGCCGCATGTAGGTGAGACGAACACCACAATCTGTCAGGTCAACAATCTGAAATATTTAAAATAAAATAAAAAATATTTAAAATGATGTACATGGTGAATAAAACATGTCACAAAAACATCACAAAAACAAGATTCTAAAAAAAAAAGAGGCAACACATACCTTGGCTACAAACAGCTCCTCCCTTGTTGTCTTTCCCTTTACTTCAACCGACACCTGAACAAAGTCTCCCACTGCAAGATGTTCCACTGAAATGTAAAATGCACTTCAGAATAAGAAACTCACATACAGTTTGCAACCACATACATGTTTCCAACAATTGGACAATTGAGATTGTTTTACCTCCACAAGCATCAGAAGCAGACAGACTTTCTACAGATTTCTACCTCTCCTGTGAGTTCTTGGTCAATGAAGTTAATGTGAACAAACAGTGAATAAACTGTACCACAAAAGCGGTAAACAAAATGTACAGTTAAAAACTTCTTACCTCCCTGAGCATCAGCAGATGACCCATGGGCACCCTTTGGCTTCGTGACATCCTGTGATGTGTTCCCCACTGAAAAAAAGTGTAAAGTAAGAAATGCATGAACAAGTTTTAATTTCAACTTGAGTAGTTAAGGTAGAGTAACAAAAAAATGTTTTCTTACCTCCATTAGCGTCAGCATCAGATCCACGGACAGACTTTTGCTTCTTCACAGCACGTTGGAATTTTTTGGCCACTGGGAAAAACAAAACACAAAATGTAACACAAGTTTTACATTTCAACCTGCGTAGTTAAGGTACACCTATTGCAAAACAAAACAAAAAACAAAAAATCTCACCTCTAGGAGTATCAGCAACGGATCCATGGGAAGCCTTTGCTTTTGCAACATCCTGAGATTTCTTCCCCACTGAAAAACAACAACAGGTTAACTTGATGAATAGGGAAAACATGTACATATATGTAAGTTGCATTTCACTGAGCATTTTTCCAAGTCTACTAGATTCAAAAAAGTAAATTAAAATTTTACCTCCACTGGTGTGATTAGTTCCTAGTGTCACCTTCTTCCACTTTGTCACATACTCAAAGTTTGCACATTCACCTGATGAGCAACCCATGCAATTATTACAAAAGCAGGAAAGCTGCCTTGTGCCAAGCACCCCTGGGCTCATTTTTTTCACACAGTGAAGTTTTCTTGTTCCTCTGACTGCTTTCTTGGGAACTTCTCTGCCATGATTAATTTGATCTTTTGGAACCCAAAATACATCCCTCTTAAACTTATGGCAGTCATCATTCTGACCTTTCTTCAGATGCTCAGCGCAATACTTGAAGAGAGAATATGCGTCAGGGATGTATGCTGCATTATTTGTCACTGCCATCGATACATGCCTTTTTATGACAGCACTCTCACCATCTGAAAAAAAAAAGTGGTGCTCAAGCTCGGAGCCGGAATTCGCAACGTCTTGGAATGGGCCCTTTGACTTGTATTGTGAGCCACACCCATCCGAGAAACGTATAACCTTCGAAATTTGGATGCTTTTGCTCAGAAACTTAACAGATTCTGTGTAGAACTGGTGCACAGCATTGTGGTCGTGTTTTCTATCATCTGAAATGAATATGAGGGAGTGCAGAATGGTATGAACACTTTCTCCTGTGCACTTGGGACACTGATACGATGCAACCACAGGATGAATTGTTTCTTGATCATGTGTCCAATGGCTGGACTGCACTTCATCTTGTTGCATACAAGTATAATTTTCAGCAAAGTCGAGGATCATCACTACATGCCCTTCCGGTGGATTGTTGAAAATCATGTTGTACTGATCATGCTGCCATGCCCAGTTAAAGAGGTGCATAGAAAAGCTTTGCAATTCATCAATCAGTTCATTGATGAGAACGTTAACTGCTCCCTCTTGTGCGACATTCAGTACTTTAGTAACTTCCTTTTCTTTACCTGCTTTTGTGATTGTTTCTTTCATTCTTTGCCATTTGCTCCACTTCACTACTTTGCCCTCAGCAGCCTCCAACAGCGGATGCAGATGTTGCGATACAGCCTGCACACCACACTTATTGCATCTCCTGTCTATGCACTTCAGCTCATGGAATCTTTTGCCAGGTTGTTTTGGGCACAGTGTCATGTCACTGGCGGTGAACATGTCATGGATACGACATGCTTGCTTACTGTAAGCAGTGCAGAGGTTGTTAACTGCTTGAAGTTTCAGGTTGAAGTTGGTGCAGTACTCACACAAGCAACCTCGAAGCTTGTTTGTTGTGGATGACTTGATGTGTTTTGGTCTCAGTTTAAAGAATGATGACTTGCCAATCTGTATGTCTGGAAAGGTCTTCTTGAATTCATTGAACAACGTCGCGATTGGTCTTTGAAGGATGCGTGTCTTCAGAAGCTTCTTTTTACTCACTGCCTTTTTGTCAGCCACTTCAGCTGAATTCTCCTGGTAGAACTTGTGAACAATTTTTACTGTGTCTGTACAGAGTTCTTTTCCATTTCGGTAGTTTTCAGGTCTGTTCATCCTCATCATTTTCCGAGAGATCCCGAACCGTCTGACTGCATATTCTTGTTTTTTATACTTCTTTAAAACTGCCAAAGTTGATGCCAGTAGTTGCCTTGAAGCTCTTATTTCTTTGGATCGTTTTTTGTTGTCTGTCTTCAACTTTTTCGCGAGATTTGTCACCACTATGCTGTCAATGTTACTGGGTGTGAAGGTAACACCCATTTGCTTCAGAGCTTGCTGCTTTCGTGGTGATGCACCTTTCAATAAGTCATAAACAGTTGCTGCAAACTGCGACGGTGACTTGGATACAGCCTTTCTTGCCCTGTGAGCAGATTGCCGTCTTGCTGTTCGTGACCTTCGTGTTGATTCGGAAGCAAGGTATTCTGCCTCATCATCTTCATCCATGTGTTTTTCTTGTTCTTTTAGTTCGTTTTCTGCTGCTTTTTCCTGTTTTTCTTTTTCTTTTTGCAGCTTTTCATTTGCAGCCTTTTGCATCCTATCCTGTAGCATATTCCTTCTGTACTGCAGTAACTCTTCCCTTTCCTGTCTTCTTATATTTCTTCGCTGCTCATTAACCTTGCTTCGTTTTTCTTCTGGCCACAGAGCTCGCTGAATGCGTTTTGCGTTTCTCCAATGCTCCTGCTGCTTGCTTTCGTTTATCTGTGCTTCTTGCGTGTTTAGCCCCGTCTTCTTTTTATCCCTGCATCTTTGGCGGTAAATCCTCATTCTTTCTCTGGATGCATTTTTTTCTTTCTTTCTTCGCTCATCATCCCAACTTTCTCTCCTTTCTACAGCTTTATGTGCTTCATAATTTCTAATTTTTTTTAATTTCTTGGGATTGGTAGCTGCCATTTTTTTTCGCCAATGTTCTGGGGGGTCTGAGGCATTTCCTGGTTTTAGAAGGGTTGCATGGTTAGGTGAAGTGCTAAGACGAGCATGTGATCGGAGATTGATACGTAAATTGAGCTGCGGGGGCCCCATGCTGTCAGTATCTGTAAGGTTCAAATATCGAATATAAGCCAAGGTATCATTGAATTGAACCCCCCCCCCCAAAAAAAGAAAATTTCATAAATAAAAAATCTTCAAACTAAACAAAAAATTACCAGATTTTACTTAAATACCCCCATTAACAAACCATGCGGTCATGTGATGTGGATGTCCTTTAAAAAAAAATCTAGCTAAGTTTATCCTAAGAAATTTTGAAAAAGTGTCCATGCTAAAATCGTGATTTCTCATCAGAATTTCACTTTTTGGTGGTTGATTAGCTGTAATAAGGAAAATATAGTGGGGGTATTCAAGTAAAATATTTCATTGCTCGCGTCGGTGATGTCGTTTTCGTCCCCAGTGCGTGCTGGTGTGAACGAATGCAGTGCGGTCAATGTGCGTCCGTGATGTTTATATGTGTCTTAGATCCTGACTCTCCACTATTGTTCGAACTGCACTAAACAAGAACCTGCCTATAATTATATGTGTTAACCGGTTCCCGCCTGTACACGGGGAAACTAAACCCATCATTAAGGAACCAGTGTACGTGCATACATCACGTGACACCGAGTCGCCGCTCTCCACTCGTACTCGATGTCGACACGATCAAATTACATACATGTCTGTACATGTACGTTCACACCAGCGTGCACTGGGGACGACATCACCGCATTGCCTTCCCAAACTAGTAAACAGACATCCACAAACTCAAGAAAAGCTCTCGAAAAAGAACGGCAAATATTACTTTTATCTCCGAATCATAACTTAACCTCAGTACCATCATTAATTCTCGATGTGAACTGGATCCCTATAGGGTCATGTTGGGCAATGTGGGGTTTGTTTTGGGGGTAAAATCTGGCGATTTTCACGGCAAAGGTTGTCTGATGAATTAATTTACAGTCGAACACTGACGTTACTGTCGCCCGAAAAAGGCCACATGAAATGTAAAGAAAAGACGATTTTTAGAGTCCTACTAGTTCCTTGGAGTAGTAATTACTGTAAAACTTAGATGAAACTCAAACAGAACAATATGATACGCTGATATTTTCTGCTAGAAACCAGTTATTTACTCACCAATCCACAATCCAAAAGCGGCCAATAAATTTCCGCAACACGTCGGCGTTGCAATTTGGCGAAGCGCGCGAAACCGACGCAACAGGACAGCAGTCACATTTCACCCTACACACGTAGCATGCTAGCCCGTAATAGTATCCATGTGACCTACTCAACGTCATATGGAAAGGGTAAACATTTTGGGCCAGAACCATTTTCCAAAGCGGGGGATAGGAAAAACTAGGCGGTCACATCTGACCCACGCAACGCAAATCACGCAGGACACCGGACTTGCGTTGAACTTTTTAAATCAAGTATCTTCGTAAACTCGCTGCATATTTCATGGCTTTTATCACTTGTTTTTAAAAATGTATCCCAGCATTTCTACCTGTTAAAAATTGAAAACTAGTAACATTATCGGAATGTTAGTAAATAAAAGCAAACTACCCATGCAACACGAGCGGCATAGGAAGACACCACGCGTTACGTCGGTACGTACAAATTTAACTTCTTGTGTTTTACCAATGCAATGGTTCTGCACAAAATCAATAATTTTGTGGGAAAGCTTCACTCTAGTTGAATAAGCACCGGTAGCATGTTCATCAAAATGAGAAAATTATATCTGTTTTTAAAGGTATATTCAAATCGTTTATACAATATAACGCTGGGGGGTGGTAAAAGTACTGAGGACACCACAGAAAAATGGTACAAATCATCAACATTCACAAAGAATTTTGTTGAATAATTGCTGGGAGTTTATTATTGACTTTTCAATTCAAATATATTTTACAAATGAAAACATTAGTGCCACACTACATAAGCAAAAATTAACTTTGAACACATTCATATGTGCAAATTACTCAAATGACCCAACCTGGTGGAATGACCCCTATAGTGCTTGGCAAGGCTCATTAGCAAGTTGTTTGAAATACTGAAATACAATTTAAGAAAATTTTTATAACCAAAAATAATAATAATGTTATCAAATAAAATCATCAAGCCACCACGTCTTGCATGTACAAGTATCCTGTGTAGAGTATTAATTCGCGTAATATAATTAATGCAATAATTGTTATAGTTGCGATAATTGTAAATCTTTGTTCTAGACATATTAAGTGCAGATGCCGCAAATTGGCCGCGATAAAACTGATAGGTCCTAGTCCTAGCTTGTCCAGGGACACGTCCACGTGATATGATTATCGCAACTATAATTATTATTACATGATTATGACTACCATTACGTTAAATAAAGAACCCAAACATTTCCACGATTTGAGACCAAGTGACTCCCATACTGCCTCCACACCTCAACACATCCTTCCTTCTGTGTGTAGAGAAATGATAGTCACATGGAGGACTGAGGGGTTATGTATATTTTCCAAGAATCTGATAGCAAAGAGAGGGCATGTCAAATTCGCCTTTTATGCTCATTAATCCTGTTCTACTGTACATCTTACATTTTTGTGAGCAATTTAATTTTACATTTTATTTACACAAGTAACCATTGTTCGCTCATGAAAGCCACAATTATCATGGCCACTAATAAAAGCATGAATCCTATGTCTAATACATTACAATACTTTTTTCGTGTATCCTTTTTTTTTTTTTGGATACACCATGTATACTCATCTGCTACACCTTATACATACCGGTAGCAAGTAATTTTGCAAATGTTTCTATTGAACCCCGTGCCATTCTGAAAGACAAACACAGTACAGTTAACCAATTGACCTGAGCAAATTCGTTATAAAGAGATCGAGAAAGAATACATGTAGATACATGTTTGTACCTTGGCTTGCTTCCAGGGACAGCTGTTCATTGGGAGTTTCTTCATCTTCATGAGCACTATCATCATCTGAGCAGGGCTCTGGATTTGCAACAAATGAAATAGCGCATTATGTTAACATATGCAACAGAATTAGGATAACACCAAGTAAAACTGTTATAACAATGGTTACTCACAGTTTTGAGAAACAAAAACAAAAAAATTGATTAATGCTTTTAATTTTTCAACATCTTTCGTCGAGTGGCTTCTGACTAGAGCAATTTGCTTCAAATTACAAAAGTGGTATTTGGATCAAGTTTGTATGAAGTAAGTTTTCATATGAATCTAGTAATTTTTATCCACACACGTTAAAGATATACCACACCATTTCCCTATGTGGTGTGGCTTCATCCATACTGACCCGTCTCGCCTTACTAAATAAATGTCATTTTAAATCAAGCTACGTACATTGTATATTCTGATGATTTAGGGGCTGGTCATTCACTTCAATTAATTTAAGCAACAACACCATACCAGGAATATCGGATTATAACAATTAGCAGCATACACTGGGCAAGTTGGAGGCAGGCCATTGCTGCAAAGACTGGGGTGGTATTCTTGGATTATTTGACATTTTGCAAAAGCACAGACAGTCAGGATTGGTTGATGACCATCGGTATTTAGGAAGGGGAATAAATTTGTGATTAACTGGTCTTAAACATATGTTTGACACTGGCTTAGGAGGATGGACGCTGAAATATCAAGTGTCCATTCTCCCGATCCAGTATCCAACTAACGTTTAACACCAGATATTTTGCAGTTTACGCACAGGTTCAGTTACTAACCCAAACAGTACAGATGTAACCCAGGTAAGCAATCACTCTACATGTAGGCCTTACCATCAAGATCAAGGTTGATGTCATCCAGAGACTTTCCTGCAGCGTTCTGTATACCTCCTTTCTCCAGCAGCATCAGAAGTTTTGCAACCTTTGCTATTTGTAGTGTGTTCTCAGGAAGCCGGTAGTAGTCTCTGTGGATCTGAATGTCATGTCCTAGAAATCCAGCCATAGCCAAGATGTCAAGTTCATTGTCTTTCAGGCAAATCAGCTGCGACATGGTGGCTACATGCTTTCTCAACTTTGTAGAGGTGACATTCTCTGGATGAGTAGCACCCCAGGCCAAGGCAAACCTCTTCAAGCAATCTGCTGCTCTGAATGGTGTGTTACATCCTGGCCTTGCAAACAAGAACTGGTTGCTGTCGAGAACTCCTACTTCCCTTCTTGCAGAAATGAGAAGATCAAGGACGTGGATCATGTCTGCTGTGAGAAGAATGGGGGCTTTTCTTCCCCTCTTTCCCCTAATCTCTACACGTTCAAGTTTGTTGCAAAGTTTTCTCTCCCACGCTGAGAGGGCTACCTCAACATCCTTGTTCATCTGTTTGGTGTGGCATCTGTATGTGGACACTGTGATTCTTTCCACCTCTCCAGCTCTTCTCCTGTTGAACAGCACAAGTTGACACAGCAAGCACTTTGCAATGACAGTCCAGTCTTTCCTCGTGGGGCACTCTCTGAGCGACTCCTGTTTGTCTTGAACTATTCTCTGAATGTGGCTGTGAACCTTGCACACATCTTCAGAGACTGGTAGAACACTTGGTTTGTTAAATTTCCGTGTGTACAGGGTTGTCAGGGCACCTTTAGACACCTTCTCTGACCACAGGATAGAACACAGCTCTGAAAATTTCTCTGCCTTCTTCTGGAGATCGTCATTGCTGCATTTTATGGCTTCATCTTTCACTATCTGACTACACTTATTCAGGGAGTGTCCTAGTTTCAAGGCCAGTGATGGGGTAGCATACTTTCCAGTTGACACCAAATCCTGAGACTTGCTTCACTGCATCAACAACATCTTCAAACACCTGGGGATC